AGAGCTGCTGCACCCACTGCCCACCAAGCCGCTCTGTGTCAGGCTCACTGCTGACACGAGTTTGCTAGGTCTCAGGGCCCCTGACTGGTTCAAGGCCAGCCTGGAAAAATGACCCTGCAGCCGCAATGCTGAAAGGCACCTTTCTCTGCAGGGACAGGAGCAGAGCTGGGGGCATGGCACGATTTGCAGCCAGCCACTGCTAACGTGTCCAGGGAACAGTGTAAGCCCTGCCTGGCCAGCCTGGCTGTGGGCAATATGGCCAACAGACCCAGAGGCACCCCAGATCTCTATGTGGTGGCAGAGGGCATCTCTGCAGACCCCGTGGTCCCCAGCTGCATCCCAACCCCTGGCCTCCACGGCAGCCTCTCAGTGGTCCCCCACCGCTCACCCTGAGGGCCACCCCGCACCCTCCCACCCTTCAGTACCCTGTGTCTCAGGGCCCCCCCTGTGCTCCCCATCCTCATTCCACCACCCCATAAGCTCCCCTGTTCCAGACGGGCTTTTCTGGGCAGCTGCCCACCCCTGCAGCACAGCGTGGGGAAGGCAGCATCGACCCTCCCCCCCAGACACACACACTGGCTTAGTAAATGACCCGTCTGAGCATTGCCAAAACCTAGCCATGACCGAGCATCACCACAAAGAGAAGAAACAGGGCAAGCCCTTCCTCGCCTGCCTGAAGGCCACAAACAAAAGGGGACGGAGCCGCAGAGCAGGGGAAGACCCGGAGCCCTCGCCTGCCCGGGGTGCGGCGGCGTGGCAGGGGGCCAGGCGCTCCGGGACAGGCAGTGCTGCAAACAGCCTGCCCAGAAAGGATCCCCTTACTTTCTGCAACCAAAACATCCCTCGTTGAGAGGAAAACAGGCGTGCAAGTGCAAATGCAGGCACACACGCACATGTGTTGCCAGGCCACCTTCCTCAGCGGCTCTGCGCCCCCACGGGTGGGCACACGGGCGGAGAAAGCATCCCGCTATGCTTGCACTTGCGGTGACACATCCTGGGGACAGGGAGTCCCGGCACAGTGGTCCTGGAGCCGAGCCGGGACAGAGGGAACAATTGGAGCTTTTTTTCCTTCTTGCGTGCTAATCCCATCCCCAGAGGCGTCCGCCGCCTGCCCGGGGCTGGGTGACCTCCCGCAGCCACGACCGGGGCAGAGGGACCCAGCCCAGGCTGGGGCTGTGGCTTGGCCCCGGCAGCGAGGGCAGCGGTGCCGGGCTCTGCTCCCTCAGCACGGACGCTCTCACCGCTGGCACAGACCAGGCTGTGCGTGGCACCCGTGGATGTCAGCCAGAAACGTTAAGATGCCACTCTGCATCCTGCACCGTCCCTCTGGGCATCATTTGAGCTCATCCAAAAGTTTTTGGGGAGCTGTGGGGAGAAATCCTGCCGTAAGCCCCTTCCTGCATCCAAACTAAAATGCTGCAAGCCAAAACATCCCCCAAAATCACAGCCGTGTTGCACCAGCACCAATACCCACGTGGGCTGCGACAGTCCCCCCCAGCACAGCCACTCTGTGCCATGCCCCGCCGTGGCCTGGCAAAGCCCAGCGCAGATTCCTGGGGGAGGCCAACTTTCCATTGCGCTTGCTGCTTTGAAAGACAGTGGGTTTGGGTTTTTTTTCTTTTTTTGCTTCGCTTCATTTGAAGTCGCTCTTCAAAGAGAATGAGCCGCATGCAGAGCTGGGGGTGGTGGTGAGGGGGGGGGACACGAGCAGACGATGCCGTGCCACAGGGCTGAAGATGGCAGTGGGGAGCCAACGGGATGCTCCCCACCGAGAGTGGAAAGCTGGGGTGCCTCCTAACCTCTCCCCAGTGTGGTCTGGGGCAGCATCACTGCAATAGAGATGTGACAAATAAAACAGTCCAGGAGCACTTGGCAGCTCTGCCCACAGTGTGCTGGGCCCTGCCAGAGTCACCCACCAGCAACAAGCCGCCCTGCAACGGGTGATGCCTGGTGGCGGTGGTTCCAACACCCTAGAGATAGCATCACACTGTGCTCCTGCCCCTCAGCTGGGGGAGCATCCCTGGCCCTGCACCCCAGACCCCCCTCTCTGCCAGTGCCTGCTGTGGGAAACACATCCCGTGGCCAAGGGCGGTGGGATTTGG